CACTTGAAACCAAAAATCATCCCAATTAATCAACATACCCCAAATCCATTTCCAACACCTTAAACTTTTTATTCTTGCTTATGACAAGTCAAATATAGTTTCAAAATCCATTTACTAATCATTTATCATAAATTTTCTCAAAAACCCTTTTTACTCAATCACTAATAACTTATCAATCTTTTAATTTCTACTTCTCTTTAAGTTTTCTCAAGCTTTCATAATACCCCAAAAACAAAACTAATAAAAAATTACAAGAAATAACAGTTAAAGATTTATCAGCATAGGTACGAAGACACGGTGGAGAGGAGGAAGAAAGGACGAAGAGAGAATTCTAGATTTTCTTTTTAACTCCTTTATCTCTTTTCCACGTGCATATAATACACCACTAAGGACTTTTAAATTCATTTCTTGTCTAATGACCATTATGCGCTTCCATCTTTCCATATTTGCTTATCAATCCTACATAAAGAAATTCCAAATAAATCCCTAAACTTTTCAATTTATCAAAATTAATCATAAAGTTTTAAAATCTTCCACTTTAGTCACTAACCCGATGTTTGGGGTGTTACAGATCTTTAAACCGTTAGCTTATTATTACTCCATTTGAAAATCAATATTTTTTTAATAGTCTGGAATGATTATAATATAATATCTGTTTGAAGTTTTTCTTAACCATTTACAACACACACACTCTCTCCTGACACACTTACTTGAATTGAAGCCCTCAAGAGAAAACAATATTCCTTTTAATTACCGAGACTACTCAATCAACACTGAATCAATAATTTTTCGTTAATCGTAAAATACTTTCCCCTAAACACTTGGTACAAAGCAACACAATCAATATTTGAAGCACAAAAATGTGTTTCTTGACAAAAAAAATGAGTGCAATAACATTTTAGCTTAGTTGATAATTACAACCTTCAAAGCTTATTATTTTTATAAGCAATCTTCAAACATGCAAGGGAGGTTGTAAATATGGAAATAACCATATCCATAATCGTCGGTCCCCAATCTCCATCTTTAGTTCAAATAAAAGAATTCTTGAAATAAATCTTGTTAGTAACATTAATCTTTATAATGAAGAATCTATCTTGCAAATAAGGAATTATTTGACTAATTTTGACATTCCATCAATGATTCCAACATAGGAAGAATATATATATATATATATATATATATAATATAGACTAGGGGAATACAAGACAATATATATTCATAACTTTCTTAACCTATTGACAACGTGTGTGCACCCAAAACATCTAGAGAGTATAACCTTCCCTTTTACCATTGGATGGGTTCAAAATTTTATGCCTTAAAAGTGTTTAAAACAAAATTTTTATTTGGATCGAAATTGTCAATTCAACAATTACAATATTTTTATCGCAGACATTGGTGGATCCATAAATAATTTTGAGGGTGAGCACATATGTGTTACCAATATAATTGTTTTTGAATGGTTGATCATAAATAAAATTTCAGGGTGGGCACCATCAATAAAATATGTGATTGATCGAAGAGAATTTAAATTTCAGAGTGGGCACAATAAAATTTTAGGGTGGGCACCATCAATAAAATAGGTGACTAATCGAAGAAAATTCAGATTTCAGGGTGGACACTGAGTCATGAATGGATATGTCACTGATCACAGGTGAGAAATAATCACTACTTGATCACATCTCTAAACAAAATTGGTTGTATAGGGACATACAAAAGATTTTATGTTAAGATGATGAACTTATAAAATTTTAGAAGGTGAAAAAAGATTATCAATAGAAAATACAAAGAAAATATTTAAATGATATAAAAATTTAAAATTTTCAAAGGATAACCTACCGAACCCTAAATCCATCACCAACAAACATGTTTAAATGCGATAATATCTTGGTATAGTAACAAAAATATCCACAAAGTTTGTATAAATGATCCATTTGTCCCATATTCTTTTTAGAGCATTTTATTTTCCTCCCAACGTTTTAATTTTTGGTCAAAACAAACAATGTTGAATGAAAATCGTTAATTAGTTAATGTGATATTTTCACATGTATTCAATTGATGACGCATTATATATCATGTCGCTCAAAGTGATAATATGAAATGCGCCACACTAAAAGTGATTATGCGGCATGTATCATGTTATCAAAATGATGATGTGGTAACACATCACATCACAGAAAATAATGATATGTTATATGATACATCACAGAAAATAATTATGTGATATGTTTCACATCAACAACATGTATTGATCGTTATTCAATTAATGATTTTCATCTAACGTTGTCTATTTTAACAAAAAATTAAAACGCTAGGAGATAAAATACTTCAAAAATAAATAAATAGAATTATCATTTATACAAATATTGAGAGATACTTTTATCATTATGGCTAATATCTTTTGCTATTTTCGCCAAAAACGGCTAATAAAAGTGATGCACATAATATGAGAGTAGGGTTCATTCTTTTGATAAGAGTGTCGCAGAAGTAACGATAATAAATAATGGTGTAGACCCACATCTAATAAGCAAATCGGTTCATAAAATGACCAGATCAAAGCTCAATTCATTGTCTGTAATTAAATATAATAAATTACATGAATCACGCCTCATATAGGAGCTTATTGTTTCTCTGCTCCTGCATCATGCAGATGCAATGAACTTTAAAAGATGTTTGAGGAGCATTTTTTAAAGTTAATTGTCATTTATAATAAAGGCAACGATGGGAAAGATTTTGTTTTCTATGTTTCCAATGCATATTTATATCTAAAAATATATGTTAGGGTTAAAATTCAAGTTGTTTTCTTCAAATTCCCTTGAATTCTTCTACTTATGATGATAATAAAAATTATCTTTCTCTTCCACGTGTGATTTTTGCGAAAGGATTTTTCATGTAAATCTTAATATATATATTCGGGTATCGGACCTGTGATTTTTTCTAGTTAATTGAGCCGAGTTTGGGCCAAATTTTATATATATTTTAGTTTTAAATTATATTTTTATTCCTTAATATTTTGCATTGAAATTAAATATATATATGTAAATTCTTTATAGGTTTCTATTATGTACTTTTAAGTTTTAAATTTTTTAAAAAAGTTTTTATTAATTTGTCAATATAAGATTCGAAGGAAAAAATCATGATCGATATTAATATTTTGAGTTAATTGCATTGTACATCCTAAAACTATGACCCTCATTTTAAATTAGTCTTGAAACTTTTAAACATTCTAAATTAATCCTCAAACTATTGTCATTCTAAACTTCTCCTTAAACTTTTGAAAATTCCAAATTCATCCCCAAACTATGACCCTCATTCTAAATCAGTCCCCAAACTTTTGAACATTCTAATAACTTCCCCCTAAATCATTCAAAAGTTTGGGGGATAAAATTAGAATATTCAAAAAGTATGGGGATTAATATAGAATGAGGGTCAAAGTTTGAGGATGGATTTAGAATGTTTAAAATTTTAGGGACTAATTTAAAATAAGGTTCATAGTTTAAGGATGTGTAGTGCAATTAACTCTAATATTTTTAATGTTTTCTTTTAAAAATAAACTTAATTATATATATATATATATATATATATATGAACTGATACTTGTGACCCGAAAATACAGTTACCTGTGTTTTACGAGTGCCCGAACTTAATGGGCCAAGACACGAGTCGAAAACTACCCAGAGAATCGGGTACTCGGTTTTGAACACCCCTAATGATTTGAGATTTACCAAATTTTGATATAAAATATCAGGTTTTAGGATACATAGATCATCCATTAGTACTTTTAATCTTTAAATTTAGAGTAAATTATGCATTTAGTACCTAAACTATTAGTTTTGGTTCATTTTAGTATCTAAACTTTCATTTTTTCATTTGAGTATCCCACCGTTAAAAACTTAACGCGTTTAGTACCTAAACTATCTGTTGTGGTTCATTTTAGTACCTAAACTTTCAAATTTGTTTCAAAACTTAACATTAAATTTTGAACGGAGTATTAAAATGTAACAAAAACTAAAGTTTTCAACGGCGTGATACTAAAATGAAATAAAAACAAAACTTTAGGTATGGTATTGAAAAGAATTGAAAGTACTAAAATGGACTAAAACTAATAGTTTAGGCACTAAACTTTTAATTTACCTTAATTTATTATAAATTATTATTCCTTTTATCCAATATCAATGGGATTTAAATTTTTGTTGTGTGATTTCTTTATACGTTCATGCCAAAGCTCAAATGCCAATGTTCATGCCTGACTACCTCTCAAACTCACTCAAGGTTTCCAATTTGTCTTGTTTTAAAATACATTCAGAGGACTTAAAATTAATTAAGCACATTCGTTCCTTTATGTGAAAGCCTAATTTGAGTGGAGTCCAAGACTATGTGCTGTTAATGTTTGGGTATCCACTGGGATGCTTAAATTCCAGTCTTTGTCATTGTAAACATGGAATGAATTGGTCAACACAAAAACAGGGTACAAATACAACTTGAGAATGACTTAAATAACACTTTCTATACTCACAACTGAAACAGAATTAAGGTACACTACACATTTAGTATCTAACCTATTATTTTTATCATGTTTTAGTCACTGAATTATTTTTTTCTTCAAAATCATACTTAAAGTTATATTTTGATCTCATTTTTGATAATTTGTGGTTACAAAAATTAACATAACCATTGACTTGATATTTGTTTTTTTTTTCCAATGATGATGTGACATTAACTTATAATGACATGTCGCACCGCCGTAAATATTTTAAAGGTGGTGACTAAATTAAAATTGAAATTAACCATTATGTATGATTTTAAAAAAATAGTTGGATGATCAAAACAGAACAAAAGTGATAATTGGTGTATTGAAACTTTAGTTTACCCTATAACTAATTCCAATACAACACTTTCATTTATCTTTGTATTTTTAGTACAAAAAAAAAACATAAAATCTAGAAGATAGGTTTGCCTCAAGGAATTAGACAAAACTAAAAAGGAATAAAATGAATAAATAATTAAACGATGCAATAATGATCTGAGTGATCTAATAAAGAAAAAGAATCCTCCTTGATTTCTGCTTTGTATGGCTTCTCTTGCTCAACTTCTTTGCTGTCATCATCATCAGCCGCCATTGTTGCAGCTCCGGTGAGCTGCTTAGCTCTTTCGGCCTCAAAATCCCAATCCGTCCGAACCAAAACCACCATCATGGCCACCACACACGACCCTTGTGCAGCCAACATTCCCAGCCACAGCCCCTTGAAATCAAACCCCGCGAAGAAAGCTAGCCATACAGCCACCGGCATACCAACGAGGTAAAAGCAAGCCAGGTTTATGTTCGCTCCTTCTTTCGGCCTGGCCGTGCCCCTTAGCACCCCACAGCCAGTCGTTTGCGGACAGTTCCCGAGCTCGCATAATCCGATTATCGGCAAAACAAGAGACGTCAGCGCTATGATCTCTTCATCATTTGTGAACATGACGCCCCACACGTTCCTAATCATGACCGCAAAAACAAGTGCCGAAAGGCCTAGGATGAAGCCAATGTTAAGGCCGACGAAGGCCGCCAGCTTGGCCGTCTTCGGTCTGTCTGCGCCGATCTCGTTTCCGACTCTCGTCGAGACGCTGAAGCTCAGAGAAGATGGGAATATGTAGATTAATGCTGTTGTCTGAATCAGAATCCCCATTGAAGCAACTGTAGCTCTAGGGTTGAGCAACAACCCGCATAGAAGAATCATGATCTCGTACCACCACCATTCAAGGCAGACCGAAATGCAGCTCGGAATGGCCAAATTCAACAAAGATTTCCATTCTTTAAACGACTCCATTGAGAACCCTGCCCATGTCTTTTTATGGACTTTAAAGTAGATGATATAGATGATCAATGAGCCCACAAGATTGAAGTTAGTCCAAACCCCACTTAGAGCAACACCATTAACCCCTAATTTAAGGTGTGAAACAAGAAGGAAATTGATTGGTACATGTAGAAGAATCGATAAGAAGGCACAAAATGTCAAAGGGAGAGTAATCGATTGAGCTCTGAGATAGATTCTCAGTGGGTGCAAAAGAGACTGAGCTACGAGATCGGGAACCGAGTAAACAAGATACGATTGCGCAACAATGGCGATCGTTTCATCCTGCCCACAAACCATGAGTATTCTCTTCACGTTCATCCACACAAGAGAAATGGGCAGCGAAGAAAGGAAGAGCAGAAGCACCGTTCTTTGCAGAGTGATTCCAAGAAGGGTGTATTTTCTAGCACCGAAGGCTTGTCCACAGATGGATTCCATCCCCATGGAAAGGCCGGAAAGAATGGAGTAGCCAGTGATGTTGGCGAAGCCGATGGCGAGTGAACCGCCCGCCAAGGGAAGCTCGCCGAGGTGGCCAAGGAAGAGCATGGAAATCAAGGAGCGGGAGTACAAGATGAGGCCAGTTAGTATCATGGGAAGAGCTATCTTGGCTATGGATATGGCTTCCTTGAAAGCAAGAGGAACAAAACCAGGTTCATGTATTGTTGAGTGGCGTGTTTCTTCTTGCTTTGAGGTGGGGCTTTTGGGGATCAATGGAGCACGAATGTTTGAATTGCATTTGCAAGAGTGATGAGAGGATGCAAGGTGACACATGTTTTTTGTAGTAATGAAATGCACCAAGCAAGAGAAGAAGAGAGAGTTGGAGGGGGCGTTGTAGAAGGGGGTGTGTCCGGGTTTTATAGTGGCTTTTGGGGACGGCTTTCAACTTACCAAGCATTTGATTAGGGATGACTAGGGATGAGTATTAAACTTGAAATTGATGTATTTTAATTTGATTTAATCTGATTGGTTTATGTTTTTAAAAATAAAATAAAACCAGGTTCAGTTCGGATTGAATTTTATATAATATTAAATAAGGTCATATTAAGTTTGGTTGAAGGGTAAAAAATTTCTGACACAACTTGACCCACGAGTAATATAGTAATTTTTCATAGAAATTTGTAGATAATTACTATAATACTTTCTTTCTCTATAGTTTATAACTAATCGTTAATTTATGTAAGATTAGATCAAATTTATACTCCAAAAATTGGGTTTTGTTGGATACAGGTGGAACATATATATTTTTTTGGTTTACTCGAATCGGTTGAAAGGTATATATTTTTCAAGTTGGGTCAGCTTCGGATGGACAATATATATTTTTCGAGTTAAGTCGGGTTGACAAAAAATCCAACCTAACCCAATCTGCTACCATCTTTACATTTGATCACCAAGCCAAGACTTAAGGGACACAATGGGTCAAATTACATTTTTGGTCTGCCTGAATTCGACCTAAAAATTACAGTTTTAACTTGCATCTAGTTCAACCTGGGTTTAGGAGGGTGTCCATCCAACCCAAAGCTCAATATGATATTTGGGTTAAAATTCGCATTTGGGATGATTCGATCTGACTTGACTTGACATAAATATATATGTAATTAATTTTTATTTGATAAAATAAAAATTTAATTGAAAATAATAAAATAGGAAAGAATATCATTTTAATTATTTTTAAATATATAAAAAATAATTATAATATCATTTTAAATACGATTTCTTCATCTTAAATCTAAACTCGAATACAATCCGATCACATCTTAAAAAAAACCTCAATTCAACTTGAACATAAACTTTTAAAATAAAAAATCTATCTATCTAAATTGGATCGAATTAGAACCCACTACATTTGAGTAAAATGATCATCCCTTGACTTTACCCACCCTTTTGTAATCTTGCAAATGTCGTGTTTCGACCGGCCTTTTGAGGGACACAATCGAGCAAGGTCCAGAAACATTAAAAAATATGAAATACTTTGTGAACTAAGATTCGAGATTAAAAGATTGTTTTTTTGGGTCTAAAAACGTCGAATTTTGAATTCCCATTTGAAAATATACAAGAGATTTTGGGAAACAGATATGCACCGATTGTAATTTGTTGTTAAGCAGTAAAGAAATGGTCAAAAGTGTTAAATATACAAGAAATAGTTTTTTTGACTACATGAAGTTGCTTTTTTAAGTCATTCGACTATTAAAAATTACAAAATGGTCACTTGATTGTTTATATGTTTCAAATGTTGGATTAAAATCCATAATTATAAGTATATATTTTTAATGTATATTATTATCATAAAGTATGACATAAATTAAATAATCAATTATGTTATAAAGTCATAAGGTATCAGACGTGTCATGGAAATAAAAATGTAGATACTATTAAAGTTGTATTTATAATTTGATGATGAACAGAGTTATAAGTACAAACAATAACCGCTTTTTAAATCAACTTATAAAGGGGTTATGGTCCCCAAGAAATAGACAATCTCGTACCAAAGAAATATTTAAAGATTTCAACCTATCAATTAATTCAGGTACGTTTCCGCATCTAGTATTTTATTCTTGATGATTTGACATGATTAGATCATGGTTTGATTTGGTTCTAATAAGTAGTATCATCGTCTGTCATGTTGAATCATTGATAATCAATTTTTTCTTTTATTCTTTTTCGATTTGATTTGATTTGTTCCTAAAGTTTAAAGGGTTCGATATTTGAATTTGGTATATGTATTAAAGAAGCAAAATGTGGCCTTTCGGTTAGGTTTAAATTTTTAATCACCACATATTCCCTCAGTTTATTTTTGCATTTCAACGCACAAAGTTCTTATTTTCCATGATTAAAGTTCTTTAGAATAATCAGATGTTTAAAGTTGAATGTGTGTATATGTATATATTTCATGAATTTAGGTCTTTTTGGGATAATATGTGATTGGTTTAATTCCTTAAGTTCATGTCTTTTTAGAACATAAATTAAATGCATACATGTATTTAATTTTTATTCCTTGTATTATGTTTTGGTTTAATTTGATGAATCTATAATTAAGGAATTCTCGAGAAAGTGTCAAAGATTTAAGTTTTTGGTTTCTAATAACGTTATTCAGACAAAACAATATCGTGATTAGAAAATTCAATTTTGGTTTTTGACTGTTATTAATTATAAAAATATATTTGACATTGATGTATTTGATTTGATTTGATTAAAGATTAAATTCACTATTATTTACTTTGACCTTGACTTTTGGTTAAATATTAATTTGAAGTCGGTTTACTTTTGGTGATTTATGAAGTTTTGAACTAAATGCATTTTTAAAGAATTCTTCATAAACAATAAAAGAGTTGAGTTTCCGTTTTTTTAATAACACCATTTATGTAACCTTATTTTTAGTTATTTTGGATATTATCGTGCAATCAGAAATTTTAATTTTGACATTTGATTGTTATAGAAATATTAAATTTGAATACTAATATTTATTTCGAGAAAACTTAATTAAAGCAATAAGTTGTTAAAGTGACCTCAATTATGAAAAATATTTTATACATGTTATATACATGTAACTTATGATATGTTAGTATTGATTGACCCAAAAGAAGATTAGTGGTTGATATAATCGCACACACAACTTTGGTGAAAAACATGTGATAATTATTCAGTTTGATGTGTGAGTAATAAATTGACCCAATTGGAGATTTTTGCTTGATATATTCTTATTATCAACGTTTGATTACCGATTATATATCACTTAAGGTAAATATTTTTTCTAAAGATAAAATATTAATGAAGCATATGATATCTTGAGATAATGTTTAAGTGTATTAAAATTTATTATTATTTTAATTATTTTTTAATTTAATTGAAAGCTAAAATTAAGAAAAATTGATTGGTTGACAGTATTTATATGGTTTTATTTATATTGTTGATGTAATATATGTATATATTCAATTCCATTTTTCAGTTTTGATTGTTGGTTAATAGAATATATGTTTTGAAACAAATTAATTCATATTTTGGTCATGTCTGATATTTTGATAGATTGGTTGAAACATAATGTCGCTAAAGTGATCTCTTTTGTGTATCCAGGTTCGGGGTTGCCGTGGATTCTTGGTGGGGATTTTAATGTCATTGGTAATTACGGTGAACGACAAGGTGGCTCTTAACGTCGCCATGGAGTTTGCTTAAAATTTGATGATTTTATGTTTGATACAGGGTTGATCGATATGGGGTTTTCAGGTCCAAAGTTCACTTAGAAACGTGGAACCCTTTCTCAACGACTGGATATGTGTATTTGCAATGCTAAGTGGTATGATTATTTTGAAAATTCAGAAGTCTTTCATCTCCAAAAATTGGGTTCGGATCATCGACCCATTATCCTTAAGTTTGGGGACCAGCATGAGACTTCTCATAATCGACCTTTTCGATACATTAATGCTTGGAGTGATCATCCGGATTTCCCAAATTTACTGATGAATTATTGGAGAAATGATAGAGACATTTACGAGAATATACTTGATTTCCAAGCTAAAAGTACCAAGTGGAATAAGGAGGTGTTTGGGCATATTAGGAGGTGTAAGAATTTTTTACTCGCTAGAATCCATGAAATTGAAAAAGTGATGGATAATTCGAATGAACCTTTTTTATTAGAACTAGAGATAAAGCTTAAAAAGGAGTTGAACGTAGTTCTCGCTCAAGAAGAGAGCTTGTGGAACCAAAAAGCTCAAAATACTTGGATCGTGAATGGGGATAGAAATACCTCATTTTTTCACGCGTCTACTATTAATCGTTAGAAGCACAACACGATTAGTATGTTGAAGTTTCCTGATAGTTCTTGGTATAGTGATCATGCGCATCTCAAATGCAGTTACTTTTTTTTCCAAAATCTATTTATGAGCGAGCGAATGGTGTCTAATACTGAAATTGGGAGGTGTAATTTTTTTTGTTATGGGGATGATGTTCTTCGGCCGTTGTTGCGTGACATTTCATTGGAAGAGGTTAGAAGTGTTATCTTTAGTATGGCTCCCTTGAAAGCCCCGGGCGTAGATGGCATCCATGCAAAGTTTTTTCAAAAAATTGGAACATGATTGGTGAGTCGGTTTTCCAATTTATCAATCATTTTTTAATGATGTCTATCTAGCCGATTGGGTGAATCAGACTCTGTTGGTGTTGATCCCGAAAGTTAATAATCCCGTCTCAATTACTCAGTTCACGCCTATTAGTCTATGTAATGTTCTTTATAAGACTATCACTAAACTGATTGTATGTCGTTTGAAACTGTTTCTTCCTAAATGGGTGGAAGAAAATCAAGCTAGTTTTGTTCCAGGCCGTCATATTACAGATAACATTATTCTCGCTCAGGAGGTTAGTCATTCGAAGACAAAGAAGATGGGTAGAATAGGATGGATGGCAATCAAGGTGGATTTGGAGAAGGCTTATGATCGCCTGGAATAGAACTATATCGAGAGCACTCTTTATGCAGTTGGCCTACCAGAGTTACTCATTTCTCGTATCATGTGTTGTGTTAGATCCGTGTCGACACAGATTCTCTGGAATGGGGATCTTACGGATTCCTTTAAGCTTACGAGAGGTATTCGACAGGGTGATACGTTATCGCCTTATTTATTTGTCTTATGTATGGAGAGACTGTCTCAAGCTATAAAGGTGAAAGTAGTTTTAAAAGACTGAAAGGAGATTTATCTCTCAAAGGAGGGCCCTGGATTATCCTATCTCTTCTTCGCAGGCGATTTAGTGTTGTTTTCTAAAGTGTCGATGGATCAAGTTTCGATGATCAAGGGTGTTCTGGATAGGATTTGTTATGAATCA